TATTCAAGGCGTTTTGTTAAAACAGCTTTTCGATGTGGGATTCATGTCTACAAGCTGATCTTTGATACGACTTTCAAAGGCTTTACCCGCCAGAGAGCATTGTACCTTTACATGATTTTTTTGTCTGGTTTTGTTCAGGGATTCATTTTGGTGACATATTTTTGAAGTAGCTGGAGGCCTCAGTGACCCAGTTCTCTTTAAAGACCATTAGCGTGAAACAATTTTGAAGATCCGCATAATTGTTCTACATGGGGGGCAGTGCTTTGGCCAAATAGTGATACTGATGTCGGTCAGTGGATTATTCCATCCAAAATATGAATGCACCCCAAACAACACATTCATGCTTCCCAGAGGATATCTGACTAAAATGCCAGCTTTGCACACACAAAAAAACACTGTTTAAGCTTTGCAAACTACATGAATAAATAAAAAAAATGTTAGCATGTTTCGTGTTCCTCTTTTGGGAATGCCACAGCGACTGTTGTACTATATTTTGGGTTTTCAAACATGGAACTAAATGGTAATGCCAACGTGCTAGAACGTCCAGAAGAAGAAACTAATTTATTGAACAGGTAGCGCATTTACCGTATTCATCATAGATTAGCAAATTAGCATGCTAACATTAGGCAATTTTCCCCTGGGGGACCAATAAAGAAGATTCTGATTAGTACAAATCACAAAGTGCAGATTAGGCATGATGGGAAAGTGAATAGTTTGAGGCCAATATTGCACTGTCCACATCTGCATGTACAAGGGGGATCCATTGTTTGTAATGGCTCAACGCGACATAAAATTTCTCATGAACCTGCTGATGCTAATACATGTCGATTCATCCTCTGGGCATCATGAATGTTGGTCTAAAATTCCACAGCAAACCATTCAATGGTTGTAGAGATATGTTCGTCTGGACCAAAGTGGTGGGCCAACCATCTAGCTGAGAGACATTGTCGGGTTAACACTGACATTCTTTGCTCAGTTTCTTTTTTTTTCTCCTACTGGACAGTTTCTATTTTGGAAAGTGTTACATGGCTCCGTTTAAATACGTCAGCGACTGGTGTTCTGAGGAAATAGTTTCAGTGTAAAGTACAAACATGAGAAAAGTTGCTGTAATGGCAACACGTCTTTTGATTGAAGTGTCAGCTTTGCACGAAAAATGATCAGTTTCAGTTTCGCAAAATAAAAAAAGAAAAAAGAATTTTAGCACGTTTCCTGTTCAGATGCTGGAAATACCACAGTGGTTGCTGCACTATATTTTCATTGAGTTGTATTCTGGGATCTTAAAACACTGAGCTAGATGCCAATGTCAGCATGCTAAAATAAAACCATTTACCATTTTCAACATCTTAGATTTGGTCACCTGCCCACTTAAACCTTGACTGTATTACCTTGCAGTCACCATGAACACGTAGTTGTTGCTATTTGGTCAATTGCACGCTTTCTTCATCCACAAGAACAAGGTGACTCTGCTGGATCCACGGGTCATAAACTCCCACCCAAGTCATTCGGATTCATCCTCTGTCCACCATGAACGTCTGTACAAAACGTCACAGCAAACCACGTAATGGTTTTTGAGATATTTCCATCTGGACCAAAGAGTCCGCCTCTATTTTGCAACAGAAAATTCCACGACGCCATGTAAATAGAGCAGTGACCAGCGATTTAAGGAAATAGTTTCAGTGTCAAGTATAAACACAAGAAACGCAGCTCTACGGGTGTTTCCTGAGGTGAGCTGACCAGGTTGTTCACTCTCTCTGATTCTCACTAAAGATAGGTTACCTGGTATTGCGCAGACATCAAGATCGTGATAGTCTGTCTATCTGTCTGGTCTTTGTATCTCTTTGTGAAATTTCTTCTTCCATTGATGGTCCAGCCCACTGAGACACTGTTTTCATTCCAGTCGAGATTTGTAAGGAACGAAACCCAGTTGGTGGTTTGGTGTCTGTTTATTTTCTTTTTTTAACATCCGACTCTCGGTGCCGTTCTCGTGCTGCGAGCGAGCTCGTCTCTCGCTGTGACCTCATCCTAAAACCGCCGAGCCTAACGACCTCCTGACGTTACCGTGGTAATCTGTCATATTAATGAGTTCAGTGTCACAAGGGGCAAACCAGTATTTCAGCAAACTGGTCTCCAGTGCCCTACTTCCTACATCACTCAGTAGACACTGATTTGGGTGTGACCTCTGCCTCTGGAGCTACGCTGCTCGGCTAGTCGACGCAATCTCACCTAGACCTTGAGGAAAACGTACCAACATCCAGAAGAAGAAAAAAAAAAAACTACCCATCCCAGAATCCCCTGCTCCATCCATCTTCTTGCTGTCACCTGAAATGGGAGCCGATGGTAAGGTGACCCCGGCACCATAAAGGAACAAGGAGAGCCATGTCACTTTGTGAAAACCTCCGCTCAACCATCTGGCACCACGATAATAGAGCTGGAAGCAGGTGAGAGTCGGCGCTTCACTCTCCTCGAGCGTGCAATCTGACTGTAACCTACCAACGACCCCATGCTGAAAATGAGCCATTCTTTACATCAAATTGCATCCATTATGTTGTCCTTGAGAATAAGAGAATTTCAGGCATGAAAATTAATACAATAGAGACGAAAGGCATGAAATTCTCCGGGGAAGTGGGAGCTCCAGCAACACAGTGGGTGCCATTGTGCCGTAAACTTTTCCCCCCGAAGTGGTTTTCCGCCTCTGTTTCTGCTGCCTCTGCAGTTATGACAAAAGCAGGCAACAATAAGACATGAGAGACAGATTCAGCGCTAAACTGTATTAACGCTGTGTGATGTATAAACAGCGTGTGACAGTTTGGGTTTTCGGGCTGATTTTTCGTTTGTGTTCCGCAAGAAAACAGTGTGGTTGGAATGAGCTGAGGAAGCAGCGGTGAAGTCCAAAAAGAAAAAAACAAAACTAAATCATAGCTGTCGTCTTGGTCCATTGATGTCAAACCTAAATAAATAAAAAGAACAAAAGGAAACCAACTGCGGGGTACCAGGATAAATCTGAGCGGTCTTGAGATGATTAATAAGGTAAGAGAGATGATTTCCCCCCTAATCCTCCTTTTATTTTTAGAATATTCTACAGACTCTAAAACCCTTTTCAAATCAAATAATCTGTGAGCGGAGCATCAATCTGATTGAACTTCTTAGAATTTATGCATCTTGTACCAAGAACAGATTACCTCACTTTAACAGAACAGTTGTAGACAATACATTTATGTACTCTATTTGGTTACAAAAGGCAGATCAGTTGATGTTAGCACGAGGATACAACCAGCAGCTACTTAGCTTAGCATGCCATAGCATAGCATAGGCACCTAGCAGCACCATAAAAGCTCACAGATTAAAGTTTTGACATTTTGTTTGTTTAATTTGTTCAAAAATTAGAGTGTAAGAAGCACCTGTGCAGTCTTACGATGAGTGTTGGACTGATTCTCGGTTATGTCTTGAAGTGTTTGTCTGATAAGGTGACGTCCAAGAAATGGTCCAACATACAACCTCCTGTAAAACCACAAATAGTGTTTTTTTTGTATGTT